TTAGCATGATAGAAAAAACACAATGCATACAATCACCTTGAGGGCATATATACGAATACGCATGTAGATTCATCCTGTTTTAGTGTTACATTTCTTCATGAATTTTCCTTTAGAAATTCTTGTTTGGAAGAACAAATGCAATACACAGCTTAACATTGTGTTATTTTATTTTAATCTAATTTTTTTCTAGACATTTCCAATTAAATTATCGCCCAAAAATCAATATGAGTGGTAAATTAGAAAAATTCAGCGTAATTTGGGCTTTTTAACTGGAAACTTTTATGTTTGGCGACTGTTTTTTCTTTGTATATAACTTAGAAAGTGAGAATTCTACACATTCCCTTTCACGATTGTAAACAGTTGCTTAACTTCCCTAAAATAAACACTATCGATCATGCATACTGAGAAAATGAAGACCTATGTATTTAGTGATCAGAATGTCAACGTTAAAATACGCCGGTACTATAGTATAACAGTTGGTACTTCATATGATTTAAGAATTTAGAAGCGTTGATATTTATTTACTTTTTTTGTGCAACCTGTTTTGCATCACAATGAAAAGACTAAGGGAACCAACAGAAAAATAAACAAAGCAGTAACAATTAGTCATAACTGTCAAGTATTCTTAGACAATTCGATACTTACTTATGCAATGAACACACCAATCCAGAAATTGAATTTTCCTAGTAATGAAACAGAATTCATCAAATGAATGTTCATTTCTTATTCAATAAGGAATATTACAGACAAATTGATGGTGTGGCTATGGGTTCCCCATTAGGTCCAATCCTAACTGATGTTTTCCTCGCTAAATTAGGGAATGGACCACTGAAAGGAGTAATTAATGACATGGATTTCTACTGTCGATATATGGATGATACATTTGTGGTTATGAAAGATGAGAATGATGCAATGAACATCCTGGACAAGTTTAATGATGCACATTCAGCAATAAACTTTACCATAGAGAAAGAAAGTAATGACAGTATCTCATTCCTAGACGTTGTCATGGTAAGGAAATAAGATGGAACACTAAGAAGGAGGGTGCACAGGAAACCTACAACAACAGGTCAGTACACTCATTTTTTGAGTTTTGTACCTTTGGAATATAAACGTAATTTGGTAAAGTGTTTGGTTCATAGAGCTAGGTTAATCTGTTCAGACGACTGCCTCAATGAGGAGCTTAAGATTATTAGGGAATTACTTAGAAAAAATGGTTATCCAGATAAGTTTATTGAGAAAAATATGAATTCAGCTCTTAGGAGAGTCATTATGGCCACAGTCCCGAAAAAACCAATGTTCATAAAATTGCAGTTCCTCGGTGACAACATTAGCGAAATAATAACACAGCGCCTGAAGAATGCAGTTAAAAGGACTTATTATGCAGCAGAGGTACGTTGTCTCTTTACAACCACACCTATTTTATGTTCGAGAAATAAGGATAGACTACTTAAATTCGCCTCCTCTATGTGTATCTACCAGTTTGACTGCAGCTGCGGAGCCAGCTACATTGGGCGTACAATTAGGCAAGTTCATCATCGTATTTCCGAACATCATCCAACGTGGTTAAGTAAGGGACAAAAAAGATCTGTTCGTAGCTCTATTTTAGCCCACCTCGTTGATACTAAGCATAAGATTGATGTTAATACAGCATTTAAAATTATTTATCGCATTCCGACTTATCGTAATTTTGCTCTGCGAGTTCGTCTTCTACAGACGGCTGAAGCGATCGGAATTCACCTGAAGAAGCCGAGCCTATGTGTACAGAAAAAATTTGTACAGCCATTTTCCCTACCGTGGCCATCGTCACAAGAATGCATAAACAGGACTGCGTCATTCCCCTAAACCTATAAAATTATATTTGTCTAAATTATTTATTTCATTTTTATTTATTTTGACCACTTCATCTTTAATTTACGTGTTATCCTTGTAAAATTAATTTATTCTATCCATTTCTACCTTTTAAATGTGTATTGATTTTCTTCGTTAATTATTAACCCATTGACATTTTGACACTGTTTAATTATTGTTAACAAAGTTATCGCCACTTGATTGGCAAACTGTTGTGTATTGTAATAAAAATGCTATAGGTGTATATTAGAGTCGAGCCAGAGATGAGGATCAAATTGAAAAGTAAATATTTCTTCGCTCAATCTTTCTGTTTTCTAAATGTCTAAATGGGGATTTTTTCTTTATTGGAAACTAGGTATCACAAAAAAACTTTGCACAGGTGGTGAAGCAAATTCGTCTTTATAATATTGCTCAGAAACTCAAAATATTGATTTTTCTGAGAACTAATTGATGTTTTCCATACAAAATTCATAAGGATGAAGAACGCATTATTTCAGTAGTTTTGACAAAGTGATTTCAAAAGAAACAACTTATAAAACATGGCGTCAATCTTAAATTTTTTCCAAAGTCATAAGTTTTATTCAGAATCTTCAAAGTAATACAGACTACTTATTAATATAAGCAACTGGAAATCACACCATCACTTAGTTGGGGTGTGGAAGATGGTGCTGTAACCTTCAGAAGGCCATTTTCGTCTATTAATTTGGTTGAAACAGCCAGTTGGTGTGCAGATCGCCTCGGTATAGTTGGGGAAAATCGACGACTAACACAATTAGGTACTAAATATATCGAATTGCATATTTTGCACACTTCGACGATACCGTTTGCAGTGTCAACGAGACCATAACGCAAATATGCTGAGTTTTCCCAAAAAGAAAATTTACTGAAATTTTATTTAGAACTGTGTACTGAGCAAAATAACTAGTTAAATTTAATAATAATAATGATACTAAAATGTGTATTTCATGAAATTCAGATTAATTTACCTAAGTGTTTTATTTTATTTTTGATTACAGCTTGATTCCACACCGTATTTTTGGTGCAAGTATGGAATTTTCAGCATGGATATCGGTAGCCCAAATTTTGCAGGCCGACCATAGATATCAGGTGTGCGCCGGCAGGGGATCGAACCTCGGACCATGTGCATGGTCGGCGAGCGTCCTAATCACTGTGCCACCGATGTGAAGATTTGATATTTAAAGACGAAGAATAAAATAAATGACTTCTTGTGAGAAAGATTAGTAATCTTAAATTTAGGAAGTGCTAATAAATTATCATATTATCCTGAGACAAATGTCTATTGCTCTCACATAAGATGTAACTTTCTACAAAATATCAGTTGTTGGTGTAGACAAGCACTGAACACGATAGTTAAAAGTAATAGTGACTTTGGACTACTTCATTCCAGAACAAACTTAAATCATTATCAACCTATACAAGATTTAATAAGTGGTAAGCTAAAAATTAAGCAAGTGAAATGAATTATTTCATTTTATACATGCTGAGATAGGCACAAAACTACAGGCTGTGTTAATTGGAAACATGTAACTTTTCAAAAGAGACATAAATGTGCAAAAGAATATGCAAAACACACATACATATCCAATGGAGAATTATAACCATAATTTATGACTGTGAATGAAAAGATAACTACGAAGTCTGGCTTTTACAGAGATGAGGTATAATTTGAATCAATAAGAAAAGTATGGCCTAAGGATAAATAGGAATTATCTAAATTAGAAAAAAAAGCATTAGGAAATTATTTCATCAAAGAATTTAAGGTACATATTGATTAGTGTAAGACAGTAGGAAAGGTGTATATTTCAGTGTAAAATGACAAGAGTCAATTCTCATGATGATTTCAAAACAAATACATTCACTTCCACCGTTTTTGAAAATGCGCCAAAAAGTATGAGCTATTAAAGTACACTGAATCATGATTTATTGCGTTTCTACAGTCTAGAGATATATATTTGAGCTTTCGCAAGCTGATGTATGATAAGTGGTGTTAGAATTAGAAAAAGGCATATTATAATTAATGCTTCTTCGTGTAGTGCTTGATCAACCGACTCTGTTATAAGCTCAGTCAGCAAATTATATGATTAATTATTGATTGAGATAAATTTAGGGTTCAATTTTCTTTTCTTACCTACAATCGTAATTAGCAGATTTCACTTTCTAGTTAAGTGAACCAAAATAAAACGATTCAGTAAATGAGACAGAAGTGGAAATTAAGCTATTTTACATCTATTTTAAGACTATCGTGTTCGAATGAAGAAACAAAACACCTAGTTTATGACATTTTCTTAATTTACTCATGATGAAAGTTTTATTTGGACTGAAAATGCAAAGTGTGTAATAGACACTTTTATCGATTAGTTTTATCAGTCATATAGATGACAGCTGTAACGTCTTTAGATGATGTATCATATACAAATCCTTGCATTACTACAACAAATGCAGTTGTGAGTTTAGTTTAATGAATGAATGTGTAGTTAAGTTCATAAAATAATGTTAAATAAAAAAGTAAGTTCATAAGTAAAGTTACCTTTGGTATTCGCGACCCCAATTCGGCATAACATAAAGCATTTAAAAAGGCAGTAACCCCAGCAACTAAATATGAGAGGAAAGTAGACGGACCAGATTTATCTCGGATTACAGTCCCAGTTAAAACATATATACCAGCTCCTGCCATATTGCCTGAAAATTGTATGAATAATGATGTTCATATATTACCTATTCCCAGAAGAGTTAGATCGAACGCAGTTAAACATCTCTTTAAAGGTGTATCCAAGCTGTCTCGTTCGAAACGGCGTGATCTTTTCATAGACTCCCATAATATTCTCAGGTGAGCCTTTGCTGCATCCATCATCGATAGATATTTGACAAATACCAATATGAAATCATCTGGTTTAGGGTTCTAAAATTAAGGAAGATGTTTCCATAAGATATTTCATTTGAGTATGGGCGAATAGGTAAGACGGAAGCAACTGATTGGCTACAAGCAAAAGAACAATAACTAAACATAAAAGACAGAAAAACAATTTAAAAAACAAAACTAATAGTCAATAATGCTTTAGATAAATATAAAGTTGAACTTGTTATTGTTTTGTTTTTGTTAGCTGAAATTCAAAGCGGGAATTCATAATATGGTTCTACATTTTCCGTTGACAGTAGCTGTAAGTCGTTTTCACAGCTGTTTAAAGGGATATCTTTCGGGATTATTTATCATATATCTTCCAGTATAATGCGCTTGTGCCTTTATTTCTGGTTTTCACACAGCAATCTTGGAAGCAAGAAACAAATCATTGATAATGACTCACAGAAAAATACTTAGTGTGAACTAGATATGTGAGAGACTTACAACTGGGTATAAAGCCTGGGGCTTATTGATTTTTTGCACACATTTATGTATTCACATACTATTTCTAACTCCAAACTAAAGCTGTTGACGACATTGCAGTTTTGAAGTAGTTATGCAGTTGATATATTAACTGCATATGTATGCCCATATATGGGTATATATATATATATATATATATATATATACATGTATATATGTATATATATATGTTGTAGTTAAGCAGGTTATGTATGTTCATCCGTTTTTCAGATTGACTGAATTTGAACATTCAGCGCTTCTTTCTTGAAGGCGTTTGGTTTTTTTTGATGGCTTTCACCCTGATTGTTCACCGTTAGCATCAGCAGTACGAACTTAAAGGAGTGATAGTATTGGAGCTGTTGTAGACAAAAGAACTTACTGAAGCCTATGGTAATGAATTTGTGTTTGGGTTTTTATGTGTAAGTTGTGCACCTTATAAGCTTGACAGCTTGAGACTACTAGTGGAATGAGTTTCATGTTATCTGTATCTGAATGAAGTATGGTGGCATGATATGCACAAGATGTAAGAAGTGAGTACTTATAGAAGATGTCACTATTTAAGATGTTTTTAGTTAGAAAGGCAAACAAAAAACAGCAGACAAATGTGTAAGTAAGCAACCATCAAACTGTGGTGTCAGCTCGTAGAAAGGTAGGTTGTCACCGCAGTCAGTTTTTCGTAGATATGCTGTCATCCTATCGGGATTCAGTGAGAGAAACTGTCACTATTCTGCTTGGCTAGCACTCATACTCTTCAGGGTCAATCCAATGTGATTACTAGTGCGATATTTTGACGAAATTATCTCATTATGGTTCCATTTTATCTGGGAGTTTTTTGGGCTACTAACAAGAATCATGTAATAGCACTTAATCAGATAATCTCTTTTTCCACCACCGCTGGATGCTATAGTTAAAGATCAAGTTGTACTATAATGTACAGAACTCAAGTATTCCTCTTCTGTCCATCGCCTATTGCCATGTCTTGTGCAGAAGGGGAATCAAGTGATGTCGCTGTCATGGAGGTCATGCAAGAGGATCCTCATAATTGTTGCTTTCAATACTCAGGGGACTGGTGATCGCAAAGCACTTAACATCACTTAAGATTTTGCAGACTTGGGTACCATGAGAAACTATAAAAAGTGCTGTAACTCAGCTAAGAAAGGTAGTGTCAAGAAGCATTCAGTCGTTCTAATTTGTAGTCAAGTTCTTAGCACTGGAGAATCCACTGTGACGTCTGTATTAAGGAGTATGTTACTAGGATTTTTAGAGTATACAGACGGCTTTTTGTTTGAAGAATGATAAAATACACCTCTACTCACTGTTTCTATTATGCTTTTCTTGTACTTTCTTCTCTTGCTTCGCGTGCTACACGGAGTGTGGCGACTTGAACTTCCGCACATTTGTGCAAAGTTCTATGTCAAAAACAGACAGACAGACAGAAAATACAATCTAAATTCTCGGTAATTTCATGAAAACGGTGTTTTTCTTTATCTAACATAGCTTTCTTCACATAAAATGTTGTATTTGAATTCGCCACGTACGTTCGTACATTGGTCAAGAGAAGGACGTAGCCAGAACCCTGGACAGCCTCGCTATTGATTTGCGCCGAATTCCTATCAATCTCATACTTACATACCAGAAATTATTATTATTGTTCCCTTGGGTTCCTAGTGGAACATAGGCCTTCAACTACACGTCTCCACTTGCCACTTTTGTCTTCTGCTGTACTTTTCACCTGCATCCATGTTAGTCCATACTCTTTCAACTCCTCTTCACACGAACTCCTCCATGTCACTCTCGTACCGACGACCCACTCGCCACTTCCCTTTCGGGTTCCACTCAAGGAATGGCCTGACGCGCGCGCGATGTACCCCAACGGTCTCCTCAGCGAGTGTCCAATCCATCTCCATCCACTTTCTCCTGCATATTTGTTGGGCGATTGGTCCTTGTTTTGTTTGTTCCCATAGTTTCTTGTTGGTGGTTATTTCCCGCCCGGCCATCTGATCTTCAGTAGAGAGCGAAGATAGTTGTTAATAAAGGTCTGCAACAGGCTGTTGGAAATATTCTTTGTGACCCACCCACCAAGTTTCTGATCCGTATAGAAGAACTGAATTTACGTTTGTATTGAAAATCTGAATTTTGTTGTTGATGCTGACTGAGTAACGAAGATTTCCAGATTGGTTTCAGGTTGATGAATGTATTTCTCGCCTTCCCGATTCTCGATCTGACATCCTCGTCCGTTCCCCCTGTAGTTGAGACAATGCTCCCTAGATAAGTGAATGAGGTGACCTCTTTCAAATCCCTCCCGTTCATGGTGAGTGACGCTGGATGTTACTGCTGCTGTTGTTGTTGTTGGCTGGTTATTTTCATAACCTCCGTCTTGTCTATGTTCACATGGAGTCCTGTCTTCACTGGCTGCTTCTTCGACCAGTTTGTCGGTTTTCGCTCACTTGTAAGTCGTCGATTTTGTGTGACATTAAACATAAACCATCCACGCGCGAAATCCACGTCTTCTAGGTTCTTCACGTCGGTCCAGGATATCCCTGTCTTCTCGTTTCCCACTGTGTGACACATAATCCAGTCAGTCCACCACAATTAGGAATATCATCACCAGTAATAATAACCACCCTTGTCTGACTCCTGTGTTTACTCTTAACGCCTCGCTGAGATTTCCGTTGTGGATGACTTGAGATGTGCCGTTGTCGTACAGCTGTTGAATAAGGTTGATGAATATTTGGGCACTGCACGCCGTAGTACTCGAGTAGTTTCCAAATTACCTCACGGTCAACGCTGTTGAAGGCCTTCTCGAAGTCTATAAAGTTGAGGTAGAGGTTTGATTACCATTCCATGCTTTGTTCTGTGATGATGCGTAGAGTTGCAATTTGGTCAGAACATGATTTGCCTTTCCTGAATCCAGCTTGTTCTGGTCGGAGTTCTGCATCCAGTGCGTCTTTTATTCTCTCCAGGATGATGCGACTCAGGCTTTTACTTTGCGTCGACAGGAGCATGATTCCTCGCCAGTTCTTGCAGAGTGAGGCGTAAGTCGCCCTTCTTTGGTAGTTTCACGAGGTAACTTCTCCTCCAGTCAGTAGGCACCTTTCCCTCCTTCCAAACCTTTTGCAATAATGGAGTCAGCATATTTGCTGTCGTCTCTGGGTCTGCTTTCAGTGCTTCAGGGGGTATTCCATCTGGTCCAGCTGCTTTTCCAGCTTTCAGAAGCTTGATTGCGTTCAAGACTTCAGCTTTCGTTGGAGGATTGGTGTCAACTTGCAGTTGTGTACGCGCTGTTGTTGATATTTCTGGACGGGTTGCAGGTGGTGATCGGTTCAAGAGTCCTTTGAAGTGATCCGCCCATTGTCTAATCTGTCTTTCTTCCTTGGTAGTTGGGTTCTCTTGGCTGTCTTTTATAGGTTTCGCTTGTGTTGATCTCTTCCCGGATAGAGACTTGGTTATATGATATAGTGTTCTTAGGTCCCTTTCGCCTGCTGCGTTTTCAGCTTCAGTGGCCAGGTTGCCGTAGAATCGTCTTTTGTCCTTCCTAGCACTCTTCTTCACTTCTTTGTCCAGTGCCTGTGTACGTTGCGCTCAGCGTCTCTTTCTCTTGTCCGTCTTTGCATTGAATCATTTTCTCTTTCACCATTCTCCTCTCCTCTATTAGCTTCCAGGTGTCTATTGAAAGCCATTCATTGTCTTGTCTCTTCTTTCTTCCTAGAACCGTTGAACACGTTTCGTTGTGAATCGCCTTCAGAGACTTTCAAGGTTCTTCCACGCATGACCAAAGGGTGGGTGTACTGCTCATCAGTCCGCTCCGTCCTCCTGTATGGTTGTGAGACCTGGCCACTGAGAGTGGAAGACATGATAAGACTAGCTGTCTTTGATCATAGGTGCCTGCGTTCTATTTCCCGTGTAAAGTGGCATAATAAGGTGAGCAACATGGAGGTTAGGCGTAGAGTTCTAGGTAAACAGGGGAAATCAATTGACGAAGTCGTGAAGCTACAAAGACTGAGATGGTTAGGACATGTGTTACGTATGCTGGTCTAGTCATCGCCTCCCTCGACGAGCAATGTTAGCGGATATAGGGTCAGGCTGGAAAAAAGCTAGCGGCGGTCAAACAAAAACTTGGCATCAGTCAATGAAATCCACAACAGTCGGTCTAAGCCACGTAGAAAGGTGTAGACTTCCAGGCTGGGGTCCTCGGGACGGTAAAAATCTATGGTTGGAAACAATTGGTGACATGGCTCAAAATCGTTCTCAGTGGCGCAGATGCATCCACTCCCTGTGACTTATGATCTTCAATGAAACTGTTTTGTTTTTCTTTATTACTCCTTTGTCTCACACCTCTGCTCACTGTTTCTATTATGCTTTTCTTGTACTTTCTTCTCTTGCTTCGCGTGCTACACGGAATGTGGCGACTTGAACTTCCGCACATGTGTGCAAAGTTCTATGTCGAAAACAGACAGACAGACAGACCACGCATGATTCTTCAGTGATGTCAAGTAGTGTTTCCCGCTTTGCTCTGAGAGTTGCAGTGAAAGTGTCTTTTGTGGTTGTGTCCTTCGGTAATTGAGTGTTGAACTTGTATTGTGGCCTATCCCCAGCTATCCTCGAGGCTTTTAGTTTCACCTTGAAAGTCCCTTCTACTAGGTAGTGGTCTGAACCCACATCTGCTCTTCTCCTCGACCTTGTGTTCAGTAGGCTCCGTCTCCACTTTCTTGAAATTGAGATGAAGTCTATTTGATTCTTGGTGTTTCCATCTGGTGAAATCCATGTCGTCTTGTGTATTTCCTTGTGTTTGAAAAC